TCGAAAATGCTGCTTATCGCTCTCCATATTTAAAAGGGCACCAACCAAAAACTACTGCGTAGAATTAATTGGAATTTTTCACACACAAGCCTTGCTATATGAGCTCTCAAAGTATATAAAAATTATACGGCTTAAAGTGAAGTTGGGTGCAAAAGAATACAATTAAATCCTCTGTCGGGAAAAAACGAAATGACTTTCCGAACAACTCTATATTATCTACTTGGACTTTAGAGAAGAAACGTTTTTACTGGATAGGATAGGTAATTTGACCTTTGGCTTTCCAGAGGAGTAACAACATAATTATTAAAAATTAAAAGGAAGACTCACCCCTAATTACCACAAAAAACTTTATTTGAGCGGACGCGTGCTTCGCACACTTCTTACATGGGCATTATCAACGCGAGACTGGACAGTCGTACAACGTAAGAAGTGGGCGAAACACGTGTTCGCTCAAATAAAGTTTTTTGTGGTAATTAGGGGTGAGTCTTCCTTTTAATTTTTAATAATTATGTTGTTACTCCTCTGGAAAGCCAAAGGTCAAATTACCTATCCTATCCAGTAAAAACGTTTCTTCTCTAAAGTCCAAGTAGATAATATAGAGTTGTTCGGAAAGTCATTTCGTTTTTTCCCGACAGAGGATTTAATTGTATTCTTTTGCACCCAACTTCACTTTAAGCCGTATAATTTTTATATACTTTGAGAGCTCATATATATAGCAAGGCTTGTGTGTGAAAAATTCCAATTAATTTTACGCAGTAGTTTTTGGTTGGTGTGCTTTTAAATATGGAGAGCGAGNATGACTGTATAGTAAATTGCATGTAGTGTCGTGTTATATTCTATTATAGATCATCAGGTGCTCATATGAAGTAGAGATTAATAACATCCAAAATTGTTTTAATAATATACAGGTTACAAGCGTTCGAAATGTTGTGTTACAAACGAATAATGAGGTACCGTGTGGATAGAGAAAGTAAGAAAATAGGTTCGTAGGAGTGCTCTCAGGCATAAAGGGCTAGTTTATAGACATATTGGAAGCAGAAGCATGAGTTAAGAGGGATATTTGAGGATGTGGGATGTTCAAGTTTTAAAGAAATGCGAAGATTAGCTCAGGATAGGAAAGAGTAGAGATGCGTGTCCAATCAGTCTTGGGACTGATAACCTTATGATGTTGAACATCTACTTGAACTATCATGGGTGAATTCCTGAACAGACATATCAATAAGATAGTAAAAAACTTAAAAATAGTTATTGTTTTAGTTACATGAAAATTTTATGTTTTCATTGTTTGTAACCCCCCACCTCCTAGCCTAAGTTTAAATTAGTTAGATATATTTCCTCTAACCTTAAAAATGTCTAATAAGGATGTAGGGTATTTATCACAAGTGGTCGAAATATAACCAATTTGTTTTCACATTAGATAATATACATTTCAAATGTCATTGTTTAAGGATGCAAATAATTAGAAAATCGGTTTTCATTATTCGTTTTGTCAAAATCACAAAATGAACATATGTTAATCAAATCGTTTTAAAACTACTGAAAATTATGAGTCTCTTCTCATAATGAAATATATGAAGTATATGCCTGTCACGTTTATCTGAATGATTTCATTAGGGGGGGGGG